CAAACAGACAACAAATGGTCAAAATTGGGAGCGTCCTATCAAATTCTGTACCTGTCAATAGTGGTGTCCCCCAAGGCAGTGTTCTAGGACCAACTCTCTTCATACTCTACATAAATGACCTCTGTGATCATATTAAGAGCAATTGCGTTCTTTTCGCTGATGATGTAAAGCTGTTCAATACCACAGACAATACTGCTACCCTACAAAAAGATCTTGACTATGTATCAGAATGGTCAAACAAATGGCAACTTCAAATCTCAACAAATAAATGCTCTGTCTTACATATTGGCAAAAAAAATCAGAAAATAAAACACAAGCTGAACAGTCAAGATCTTGTTGATGACCCAAGCTCTGTAAAGGACCTTGGAATACTCACCTCTAATGATCTAAGTGCTAGAGCCCACTGCAACTACATAGCCAAAAAGGCATTAAGAGTTGTTAACCTAATCCTACGTAGCTTTTTCTCTGGTAATATCACACTACTAACCAGAGCATACAAAACATTTGCTAGACCAATACTCGAATACAGCTCATCAGTCTGGAACCCTCATTACGTATCTGATATTAGCACAATTGAGAAAGTCCAGAAATATTTCACAAGAAGAGTTCTCCACTCCTCTACTCGTTGTAGAATACCTTATGCCACCAGACTTGAAATTCTAGAACTAGAAAACCTTGAATTACGCCGTCTTCGGTCTGACTTAAGCATGGTATATAAAATCATACATTGCAATGTCCTACCTGTCAATGAATACTTCAGCTTCAACCATAACAACACAAGAGCACACAATAGATACAAACTCAAAGTAAACCGCACCAAACTTGATTGCAGGAAATACGACTTCAGCAATAGAGTGGTCAATGTCTGGAATACTCTACCCGACTCTGTAGTCTCTTCCCCAAACCCCAAAAACTTTAACCTTAGACTGTCTACTATTGACCTCACCCCTTTCCTAAGAGGTCTGTAGGGGGCGTGCATAAGCGCACCATCGTGCCTACCGTCCCTGTCCTATTGTTTCTCTTATTCTTTTATTTTTCTTATATGTACCCATTTCATGTATTCACAACTATGTATACACTTATACTTATTATCTTGTAAACAATTGGCAAATCAAATAAATAAAAATAAAATAAAATAAATGCTGTCTAGTAAATGTTAGATCGGGGTGGATCGGTTCCCAAAGAGACGCGAGACCATTTGGTAACGTTCAGCTCTTTATTTAAGTAGGTTACAGTGCAAAGAATAGGAGCAGCGGCAATCCTTTTTAAAGGGTTTGCCTGCGGCTCGGCGGCCAATGACAGCGCTTTGAATCTCCCGCGATCGGCTCGGCCAATCGCGGTAGATTCTTAGCGCGCCAATCACGGCCACTCAGTTAGCCAATCCGGTCGTGGTCTGTGTGGACCAATCAGGTGTCAGGGTTTGGAGTATGCTAATATAGCACAGTAAACACTGCAAAAGGCATTATATGCTTTGGGTCCTGCATTTGATTCCACAGATAAGAATCAATGCTTTGGGGTATATTAACAGGAACCTGTACAGCGAGGTCCCCAACCTGTGAGCCACAGCCCACGACTGGGTCGTGGCCTATTCGCAACCGGGCCCCACTTGCATGACCGTCATGGGGATTCACAAGCCCACTCGCACGATCTTCATGGGCACTCGTGTGACCATCGTGGGCACTCATGGCCCCATTCTCATGAGTGGTGGTTGCTCGCATGCCCCTCTCATAAAGCCATCCCCTTTTTCCCTCCTCCCCCTTCCCCCCGCACCAGGCCACCAACCCAGAAAGTTTGAGGAACTCTGCTGTACAGGTAGTCCTTGATTTACACCAGTTCTGAAAAAAGTGACTTACGACTGTTTTTCACACCTGAGAAAGAACCTTGCAGCATTCCCATGTCACGTGATCAAAATCCGTTTGCGTGGTAACTGGCATGTATTTATGACAGTTGCATTATCCCGGGGTCATGTGTTCACTTTTGTCAACAACACTTTATCAACACTTTTATCAATAAGCAAAGTCAATGGGGAAACCAGATCCACTTAACAATACATTACTAAATTAACAACTATGTGGTATCTGAGAGTTGAAAATAACTTTCTGCCCCATGGTAGGACCTATGCTTTTTAAAGAGGATTCCAGATATGGCTAATTGACAGGTCCTTGTCCATCACTATGGACCACACTAGCTGGAGGCATGAAAAGTCAATTCTCCACCCCTATTCTCGGTCCTCTATAAGGGGTAGACAAGGCTTAACTAACTTTCACCTGAAATTCATTAGAATAAGCTGGTATTCAAAAAATATTTTTCCAGAAAGTTCTAATGAAGGGGCCCTTGGCGCTCTCTGAGCTTGCTTGTTTTCCTGCAGATGCTTCATTACCCTAACTAGATAACATCATCAGTGCTAGTTAGGGTAATTAAATGTCTTCAAGAAAACAAGCAAGCTCAGAGTGCACCAGGGACCCCTCATTTCAATCCTGAACTACAAATATTCTCCTTTATTAGTTCTAACGCACTAAGCCAGTATTTCTCAATCTTGGGAACTTAAAAATATGTGGACTTCGACTCACATGGCTGGCTGGGGAATTCTGGGAGTTGAAGTCCACCACATCTTTAAGTTCCTGAGGTTGAGAAACACTGCACTAAGCCTTTGTTTTTGATGTCAAGAACACAACATACATCAAACAACTACTTGCATATCCAAACCAAGACATGAAGATTTGCATCAAGGAATGCTCTGCCCGGTTGACATCTGCCTATTCGGCATCTTCTGGCTATAAAAAATTGGGGGAGGCAAGCTGAACCAAGATAGTAGAAGTTGCCCTTTCTCACATCATTTCACCCCCACTCCGGTCACATACGTTCCAAGTTAATTGCACATCCAACCCATGACTAAGTTGGTTATTAACTACTCATGAACGTTCTTTAGAAGAGTGGTCCAAGAAGATTATTTCACTTTGGTCTTGTGGCTGGGGTGCTTCTGGAGTTCACGGCATTATGGAGGCAGAATCACCAACCCAAACATCTAAAACGGCGGCCATCAGCAATGCGGCCGACATTTTGGTCATCTGTTTTTACTTCCTTGCAGTCATTGGCACTGGCCTTTGGGTATGTAGAGCTCACTTTCTTCATGGGACGTAACACTAGACTGAAATTGCTCTGCTGATAATGGGGCATTTAGTTTGTAAAAAAATACAGGAAATGCTCAACTTACAACCATTCATTTAGTGACCATTCCAAGCTACAGTGTCACTGAAAAAGAGACTTATGACCAGTTTTCATACTTTTGACCATTGTAGCATCTCCATGGTCAGATGATAAAAATTTGACTGCTTGGCAACTGGCATGTCTTTATGACTGTTGCACTATCCTGGGGTCTTGTGATCACCATTTGTAACCTTCCCAGCTGGCTTCTGACACACAAAGTCAGTTTCGCTTAATGACTGCATGATTCATTTAACAATGGGAGTGATTCACTTTTAACAGTTGTGGCAAAAACTGTCTTAAAATGGAACAAAATTCACTTTACAACTGCCTTGCTTGGCAGTGCAAATTTTGGGCTCAATTGTGGTTGTAAGTCAAGGACTACCTGTACTGCGGGGATTCAGTGTCAATTTCCTTGCCAAGCAAAATTTCAGAGGAGGTTCAAAGAGTCTCTTAATTTTCCTAAAAATGATTTGTTTTAGGCTCACAATACTGGGAAACAATCAGTAAGATTTTCCTCTGGGGTAGATTCCCCCCCGACCCAGATTGAAAACTGGCTCTAAATCTGCTGATAGCCAGGAAGGGGAATCTAAATCAAGTTCAATTGCTTTTAGGAAAGCATGAAAGAGATTTAGAAATTCTCTATTTTATCTCAATATCTTTATTTTTTCACAAGGGTGTATAGGCCAAGAAAGTTGTTAGTTGTAGTTGTTGCAGTTGTTAAGGTCAAGAAAGTTGGTATCCCCAGGCGTCTTTATTTAAGGGGTGAAACTGAGGAACCATCAAATAAAAAGGCATTCCTCCTGTTTATTTAAATAGCAGGAGCAAAAACTTCAGTATGGCTTCTTCTACTCACCAGAATCAGGAGAAGTCTGATAGCTCCTTTCCCTATTGATAAAAGTTTATTTAAAAATCATAAATTTTTGTGACTTGTAACTCCATCAGATGCAGATACATCTTGATCCATACCAATTTCTTAAACGTTCTTTTTTCTAAATGTGATTCTAAGGCGCTAATTATTTTTCTCTGCTTCTATGATAGTGATATGAATGTATTTTTCTCCTAATACTACCCTTTCCTTTGTTTTTTAAAAATTTTGGAATAATATTTCTTTTAAAATGTTTATTCGTTCCAATTTACCAACTACCCAGGGAATCATCATTTAGGTAACTCAATAAAGTGCGCCAGAATTTAGAAATCAAAGGCATTTTTTAATTCGCAAAGCAACTGATTGAGTTACCAAAATTACCATTAAGTGCAAATAAAAGTGCATATAATCTGTTCAAGGTGTCTAACCAAAACCCTTGGATTTATATAATACTAAAGTCAGTCGTGAAAAGGAAGGCAAAGCACTGAAATAGTGACAGTATTGGGTACAAATGAGACAACGCTACCTGCTTTTGCACCCGTTTTTCACAAAGTCCTCTGCCCAAATGAAAGCTGGCAGGGTGAGTCATGTGCATGTTTATTAGGCTTTTTTATCCAGGCTGTTAGTGTCTTGTCTTTTTTAATTTCAGACCTTATTGCTCCGGGGGGTTAATTATTATCCTCAGTTACACAGTTCAGGAATGTACTGGAAGCTGGTAATGAGTAAAATTGAGAAGATGAGTGACTGAACTGTCTGTTCTTTAAAGAATTACAGTCTGCTCCCAGGCACTGTCTTCTAGTTTAGCCTAGAAATTGCCTCGTTTGACACTGATTAAATGGGATTAAATGATTATGTACCTCATATGCCAAGATGAATCATATTGGCCTCTTTTATCTGGCTTTATTTGTCTGCAGGGCATGGATTAAAAAAGCTAAGATGGCAGTGCAACAATGCAATTAAAGCTCATCCTGCATTGCATGTAAAAAAAAAAAGAAAGAAAGAAGAAGGTTTGATCATACTGTCACATCCGCCATTTTGGGTTTTTCGACCATGCCCTAAACATATCCTTCCTTTACTTAGAGCAGTGTTTTTTTTCAATCTTGGCCTTTTGAAGAGGTGTGGATTTCAGCTCCCAGGATTCCACAACTAGCATCGCTGAGTGGGGAATTCTGGGAGTTAAAGTCTACATATCTCAAAGTTGACCCGCCTGATTAGAGTGTTTTGTCAGCCGTCCTATTGTAAACAGTGAAGTGGGGAGGGAAAGGAAGTGGGGGGGGGAATCTGCAAGCAGCTTCAACATGGAGGATGCTGACCACAGTGAGCAGATCTGGATTTGCATAGAGGACAATTTGGGGACTTGATTTTGCTTCCTTCACTGTGATACCCCAGTGAAGAAAGAGCTCAAATGACTCCTGTCAGTCCTGGTTAGAGAAAGTTCCAAGGGCCACTTAAAGAAAAGCAGGGCTGCACAAGGAAACTATGATGCAGGAAACCCAGATACTTGTGGTTTATACCACAAACCATGCTTTAGACAACCAGGCTAGGATGAGTTATGTGACTCAGACCATAAATCCTCATATCTTTCCTCTTTCTCTTGTGGTTCGCAGTCCATGCGCCGGATCAATCGAGGGACAGTGGGGGGATATTTCTTGGCTGGAAGGAAGATGGTTTGGTGGCCGGTGAGTGACCAAAAGAGAGGGGGGGAGATGAGACTACAGACCTCAATCAATTGAGGGATGGGATGGGGGGCACTCAACAAGATTTTAGAATAAGGGATGCAGCAAAGTAAAGTTATAGGAGGAAGAAGGAAAATCAAGTGGGTTATTTGGGAAGGACAGGGATATGAAACAATCTGTCGATGATGAGCATGAGGATTGGATTAGATCAAGGATCCCCAACCCCTGGTCCGTAGACTGACACCAGTTCGTGGCATCCCAGAAAACGGGCCACACCAACAAACAAAGCCCCATCCGTGGGATGCAGGCAGCACACGAAACCATGCCCCCTCTGGTCCATGGAAAAACCTCTCTCCACGGAACCAGTCCCTGTTGTCCAAAAGGTTGGGGGCCACTGGACTAGATGACCTCTAAGGTCTCACAATCATAGGATTTTATGATGGTGCAATAAGGATAGGAGAAAAAGAAAAGTGACCTAAGTTACTGGGTGAACTGGGAGACAAGACCACAGGGCCCGATAGATTTGGAAAGTCGATAGGCTTTTTTTTTTTTTTTTTTTAAGAAAATTTGATGGTTGTGTTCACAGATTGGTGCCTCTCTCTTTGCCAGCAACATTGGCAGTGGGCATTTTGTGGGATTGGCAGGCACTGGAGCAGCAAATGGCCTGGCCGTGGCAGGATTTGAGTGGAACGTAAGTAGCAGAGAGACACGGTTGGGGTTTTTCCCAGGGCAGGGGTGGGCAGCTATGGCCTCTTTATGACTTGTGGACTTCAACTCCCAGAATTCCTGAACCAGCCATGGGAGTTGAAGTCCACAGGTCACAAAGAGGACATAAGTTGCTCACCCTTGCCAAAAAGGAATCCCCACAAGGGGGGTAGCGCAAGACCCACTTCATTTGCTGAGCAGTAAGCACCAGAATATCTTGAGTAGTCCCTGATTTCCCCCTCTCCACCAGCAGAGAGAAAAGGAGTATCTGCAGGATAGAGGGGTCAAAAAAAGGGAGGATGCCCCCTACTATTGTGCAATGATGCACATTAAGAGGAAGCACTTTGATCATACAATATGAAGGCCACCTTGCCTTTTTTGATTCCCACCCCGCCCACAACTCTGTTGCTGTGGGAACAATTTTTATTTTGTCAATTTCCACAGATAATCAGTAAGAATTGACAATGCAATGCTGGAAAAAGCTTCACCTGTTTCATTTCTGCCTGTCACAAGCATTCGGAAGCTTTGATGAGGATTGGGGGGGGGAGAAAAAGATGGAAAGTTGATCTATCTTAGTTCTTACACCATTTTGCTTTCTTTCTTTTTAGGCTATATTTTTTGTTCTTCTCCTGGGATGGTTCTTTGTTCCAGTTTACCTCTCCGCTGAGGTAGTGATTTCTTCTCACAATCACACATTTCTTTGTTTGCTTCTCTACGGCATTTTTAATCTTCTCAAATAATCCAGGGCAGATCCATCATTCTCTCCACCCTCCCTACTTTTCTTCACATCAGCCTTGCAAGATAAACTAAACTAAAAAAAAAAAAATGATGCAGCCAAATATTCGGAGTGAGCTTGCCAAATGCCAGTCTCCTCCTAACTCTTAATTTAACCAAACAGGATCCATTCCTGTTATTTTATGCAACACAAAAACTAAAGGACTGGGAAAAGTCATACCCTTTCTTGATCCAGTAACAGAAAGTGGGGAAAGTGCCCAATCTTTAATACTTTTCAAAGGGCAGGCAGGGCTGGTGACAAAGGAGGCACATATCTTGCCACCTAGTGTGCCAACCTGAGCATGCCAACCGGTCAAATCTTCTTGACACAGAGAAGTTCCCTGAAGATGGGCTCCAGCTTGGAAGACAAAACCTCTGATCCCAGTGACCAACCCTGACTGGATCCTGCAAAACCTCTTGGGCTCTAAGAGTGTTGTACAACACTTGAATTGTGGATTAAACACTCCAGCCTTTTTGGATCTTTTGATATTATGAAAAGAAAAGAGCCAACTGGGTATAGTGATAAAGGTGCTGGCCTAGAAACTAGGAAATGGTGAATACTATTTATTTATTTATTTAGTCAAATTATAAGATAACAGGTATAAGTAGAAACATAGTTATGGATATATGAAACGGATACATATAAGAAAAATAAAAGAAATAAAAAAAAGAAACAATAGGACAGGGACAGTAGGCACGTTGGTGCACTTATGCACGCCCCCTACAGACCTCTTAGGAAAGGGGTGAGGTCAATAGTAGACAGTCTAAGTTTAAAGTTTTGGGGGTTTGGGGAAGAAACCACAGAGCCAGGTAGAGTATTCCAGACATTGATCACTCTGTTGCTGAAGTCGTATTTCCTGCAATCAAGTTTGGTGCTATTAACCTTGAGTTTGTATCTATTGTGTGCTCTTGTATTGTTATGGTTGAAGCTGAAGTATTCATTGACAGGTAGGACATTGCAATGTATGATTTTATATACTATACTTAGATCGGACCGAAGGTGGCATAGTTCTAAGTTTTCTAGGTCTAGAATTTCAAGTCTGGTGGCATAAGGTATTCTGCAACAAGTAGAGGAGTGGAGAATTCTTCTTGTGAAATATTTCTGGACTTTCTCAACTGTGTTAATATCAGATACGTAATGCGGGTTCCAGACTGATGTGCTGTATTCAAGTATTGGTCTAGCAAATGTTTTGTATGCTCTCGTTAGTAGTGTGATATTACCAGAGGAAAAGCTATGCAGGATTAGGTTAACAACTCTAAATTTAACAATTTAACAAGCCAAATTCACTACTAACATGGGCAACATCCTGCCCACACGCTTTTATCTTTCTTGGTGACTTCAATCTACCTCATATTAACGAATGTACAACTAAACCCATACATGCAACCTTCTACAATGCTGTTACAAATCTGGGACTGGAACAACTACTAACCAACAATACTAGACTTAACAACTGCCTTGATCTCATCTTTTGCAATAGTTTGAATTTAATTTACGGAATACAAACTAAAGAACCCTTTTCCAATAGTGACCACAATATGATTGACTTTTGTCTCAACATAAGCCCACACAAAAATCATCACAATGACGTAATCCCCAATTATAATTTCAAAAAAGGCAACTATGATCTTATAGACAATGATCTCTCATCCCTTGATTGGCAATCTCTAGGTACATCCCACCCCTGATAGGACTCAAGGTACATCCCACCCCTGATAGGACCTAATGGTAAAGACTGCAACGACGACACCATTAAAGCCAACATCTTTAACACATTCTTTGACTCAGTATTTTTAAACAGCAATGGATCTTGCCCAGTATTTCCTAGCCAAACCACAGAAAACTACAATGATCTAATACATATCGATTTTACAGAAGAAAATGTTGAAAAAGCACTACGCAATCTAAAACCATCTCTATCTATTGGACCTGACGGAATATGTGCCTACTTCTAAAAAAGCTATCCACTGCCATAGCAGAACCTCTAAGCATAATCTTTGAAAAATCTTTCAGGACCAGCTCCTTGCCAAACCTATGGTCACTAGCCAGGGTCATCCCCATCTTCAAAAAGGGAGACTCCAACCTAGTTGAAAATTACAGATCAATCTCCTTATGCTGCGTCACCTGTAAAGTCATGGAATCAATTATTCACCAATCCATTATCCTCCACTTAGAAACAAACAACCTACTCTCTAATAAACAATTTGGTTTGAGAAAAAACCTATCCTGTAATCTGCAACTCTTACACTACAGAAACATATGGACTACACAACTCGATCAGGGCAAAACAATAGACGCAATCTACATAGACTTCTGTAAAGCCTTTGATTCAGTGGTACACGACAAACTACTCCTAAAACTGAAATCTTATGGTATCTCTGGACACCTGCATAACTGGATAGAAGCATTCCTGTCAAACAGACAACAAATGGTCAAAATTGGGAGCGTCCTATCAAATTATGTACCTGTCAACAGTGGTGTGCCCCAAGGCAGTGTTCTAGGACCAACTCTCTTCATACTCTACATAAATGATCTCTGTGATCATATTAAGAGCAACTGCATTCTCTTCACTGATGATGTAAAGTTATTCAACACCACAGACAATACTGCTACCCTTTAAAAAGATCTTGACTATGTATAAAAATGGTCAAACAAATGGCAACTTCAAATCTCAACAAATAAATGCTCTGTCTTACATATTGGCAAAAAAAAATCAGAAAATAAAATACAAGCTGAATAGTCAAGATCTTGTTGATGACCCAAACTCTGTAAAGGACCTTGGAATACTCACCTCTAATGATCTAAGTGCTAGAGCCCACTGTAACTACATAGCCAAAAAGGCATTAAGAGTTGTTAACCTAATCCTACGTAGTTTTTTCTCTGGTAATATCACACTACTAACTAGAGCATACAAAACATTTGCTAGACCAATACTCGAATACAGCTCATCAGTCTGGAACCCACATTACGTATCTGATATTAGCACAGTTGATAAAAGTCCAGAAATATTTCACAAGAAGAGTTCTCCACTCCTCTACTCGTTGTAGAATACCTTATGCCACCAGACTTGGAATTCTAGACCTAGAAAACCTTGAATTACAACGTCTTCAGTCTGATCTAAGTATGGTATATAAAACCATACATTGCAATAACTTACCTGTCAATGAATACTTCAGCTTCAACCTCAACAACACAAGAGCACACAATAGATACAAACTCAAGGTTAACCGCACCAAACTTGATTGCAGGAAATACGACTTCAGCAACAGAGTGGTCAATGTCTGGAATACTCTACCTGACTCTGTGGTTTCTTCCCCAAACCCCAAAAACTTTAAACTTAGACTGTCTACTATTGACCTCACCCCTTTCCTAAGAGGTCTGTAGGGGGCGTGCATAAGCGCACCAACGTGTCTACCATCCCTGTCTTATTGTTTCTTTTATTTTTATTATATGTACCCATTTCATGTATTCATAACTATGGATATACTTATACCTATTATCTTGTAAGCGATTGACAAATCAATATAAATAAAAAACTCTTAATGCCTTTTTGGCTATGTAGTTACAGTGGGCTCTAGCATTTAGATCATTAGAGATGAGAACTCCAAGGTCCTTGACAGAGTTTGGATCATCAACAAGGTCTTGACTATTCGGCTTGTATTTTATTTTCTGATTTTTTTTGCCAATATGTAAGACTGAGCATTTATTTGTTGAGATTTGAAGTTACTATTTGTTTGACCATTCTGATGCATAGTTGAAGTCTTTTTGAAGGGTAGCAGTATTGTCTGTGGTGTTGAATAGCATTACATCATCAGCAAAGAGAACACAGTTGCTCTTAATATGATCACAGAGATCATTTATGTAGAGTATGAAGAGAGTTGGTCCTAGAACACTGCCTTGGGGGACACCACTATTGACAGGTACAGAATTTGATAGGACGCTCCCAATTTTGACCATTTGTTATCTGTTTGACAGGTTTTATCCAGTTGCTTTTATCCAGTTATGCAGGTGTCCAGAGATACCATAAGATTTTAGTTTTAGGAGTAGTTTGTCGTGTACCACTGAATCAAAGGCTTTACAGAAGTCTATATAGATTGCGTCTATTGCTTTGCCCTGATCGAGTTGTGTAGTCCATATGTTTCTGTAGTGTAAGAGTTGCAGATTACAGGATAGTTTTTTTCTGAAACCAAATTATTTATTAGAGAGTAGGTTGTTTGTCTCTAAATGGAGGATAATGGATTGGTGAATAATTGATTCCATGACTTTACAGGTGACGCAGCATAAGGAGATTGATCTGTAATTTTCAACTAGGCTGGGGTCTCCCTTTTTGAAGATGGGGATGACTGTGGCTTGAGACCATAGGTTTGGCAAGGAGTTGGTCCTGAAGGATTTTTCAAAGATTATGCTTAGGGATTCGGCTATGGCAGTGGATAGCTTTTTTAAGAAGTAGTCCCACGTTAGATATAAAAGCTGGCTAGGTGTCTTTGGGCCAATCACCAGGAGATGGTTAGCTCTAGTCCCGCCTTAGG